AGTGTTATAGTTACACCTGTCAGAAATGAAGCCAATTGTTACTCTTAAGAGAATCTTAACGGTTCCAACTCAGTGCTTTGGAAGTCATTGTCGAATTATCTGGGTTGAAAGATAAAGACTGAATGCTGATCAGGGATTCCCTATAGTGCCTTATGATACATAAAAAAATTCTTCTAATCCTCAGAGCAATGGGTTTCACCATGTGAAATGAATAGTGCCTTTCTTGTACTAGGGACAGTATATCACATGGACAAAGTGTTCATAACGTAATGCCAAATTTTCAAGTGTTTAATACTCCCCAGCTGCATCTATAAATAGTTTATAGTGTATTTTGTTCTTTTAAATAGCCACTTCTCTTGCCACTTCCCCTTAATTTACTCTTAGTGGCTAGTGGATGTTTTTGTCTGTACAGGTATGCTGACATTTACATGCATACAGCATTCCCACTTAGATGTCTGCATGATTCCAACAAACAAACGACCTGAAGGGCTGACAAGGAAAGACGTGAACCTGAATGACTTAGGATGGTTAAGCAGGTCAGAGCCTTGTCTGACTGCTGCCCAGTCTGTGCCAAGTAGTTCAGCAGGACTGAATTGAAATCACTGAGCAGCTGCTGATACACACGTATGCAGATGTGGTGCAGTTTGGCACTTGTTTAATTCTGGCCTATCTCTCTGGAACATCCTTGCTACCTTATCAGGCTAGCCCCCTAGCAAGGTCACAGCAGGGCTTTTTTTTCTTATGAGATACCAATTACGTAGGTTCTTCTGGTGAAGCTCATTACAGATGTTTTCTGCAAGTGTGATCTCTATATCATATGCTTGCATCCTGTCTTACTCTCCTGCTTGTCATGATATAGTGTCCTAGGAGGAATGTTTGAAAGAGATAACATAAAGAAGGAAACATCTCACAAAATGTAATATTCTATACTCCATGTTTCACAGAAGTGACAGCTCACCTCAACTGAACCCTTCAGACTGTCAGATGGGGAAGTCCATTCTTGCATAAGAACACAAGGCTAATCCCTGAGCATACTTATAAGAGCCTTTTCATGCCATTAATAGTACATGGTGCTTGAGATGTTTTTCTGCTTTATCTCTGCAGGGCCTTTTTTCTAGCATATAGATATCTGTGCATACACAAATGCCTATACAACATTAATATTACAAATAGTTGCACAATATGTACATCATGTGCACATATCTATAATGCTAAATGCATGCACATGTCTACTGGAGGCAGACAGAAAATCATGGCCTTTTTTTATGCCAAAGCAATCTGTGCTTTGAGCTGTGCTCAGAGCTGTATGCTGAACTGTCCTGTTACGTTTTAGCTTGGCGGTATCTTAGTTAGAACTACTTTTTCTACTTTGAGCTCTTGACATCCATCGTGCTGCAGTGGGCCCATTGTTCCATCTCCTGGAAAGAGTTTTGCTGTCAGTGATTTCCATTCAAAGAGCATTTTTTCATTCAGCTTTGTCTCAGAATTATGAGCTTTAAGAGTGGTGTTTTCTTATCACACTGATCTGTATAACAGGAAGAAATTCATTCTGTCTCAGGAAGCAACCTTATAGTTCAGCCATTTTGATTACTTCTTTGACAAGTTTATTGCTGCAGTGAGATTTATTAGTCTCATGCCCTGTTACATCCTTATGCAGGGAACTATGGTATTCCTGCCTAATTTAGCTAACTTAGTGGCTGCTGCCATTTCCTGAAGAAAAGTATGAAGTAGTCCACAGAACTTCCTGTAAAGCTGTCCTATTCTGCATGGGAAAAGTAACTGCCCAGTGATTGCCTCTGGAAACAGCAGTGAGGTTGCATGGCCTGAATGAGCAGCTGTCCTGGGTTTCTGTGCATTTCCAAATATCCCATGAGCGGAGACAAAGATAGTTCACCTTCTTTATCCTAGAAATCCCATAGACATTAATAGAACCATTTGTGTGGTTATTTAGCTTTCCGAATTAGCTCTGCTAGTACTTATTTTCACCTAATTTAGAAAATGTTCTGAGGTCATGTAACAGCAGTGCAGTATAATTGCTGGATATTAGTAGTGTAACTTGTTCAGTAAGTGGTAGAAGGTTGAGAACAGTCACAGTTTCTTAATCTAAGCAAAATGGCTCCAAATCTGTCTCACTGCAATATTTCAAATGACTGTCAAATAGAAGAAAATCTGCATTTCCAAGTTGCTACCTCTTGGATTTCTACATGTCTGTGGAGGCCAGTTTATTGATGTAGATTGAGAGTGAAAAATCTATGAGAAAATCATGTGTTTTCCAAGCTGCCCAGTACTATCTTCACTCTCATCTGAAGCTATGCTATATAACGAAAAGGGACAGAGCTACATCTGTATTTCCTGGGTTAGAGTAATACTGAACTCAAAAGTAAGAGAGCTAATGCTGAGGTGATCAAATATGGATCAGAATTTTCCCATCCCTCAAAAAAAGAAAAGAGGTGGGCTTCTGTTTTAAATGGGGCCTGAACTGATGTTTGTGTTGCATGGACAGGGTGGGGAAGTTCCTAGTGGAAATGTTGCTCTGATGCTCCAGGAGTTTTTGCTTTACAAAAGCCGTACTCATGGTTGAAAATAAACAAAAAAACTTATACTGAAGAAAAGAAGTTCCAGTATCTTCACGTTTATGTTTTAAATTTTACTTCTTTGGAAAGTCTGGAAAATACTAAGGAAAAATAACTGCTTAATGGAGGCTAGAACAAGAAGGCCTGATGTGTAACTAAGACTGTTGAATTTGTATTCATTCACACTAATCTAATTATTACTTTCTTTGAATGCTCTGCTGTGAGACAAAATAAGCTAGTGCTGGATTTGAGAACCACAGAGTGAGAAAAGTAAGCAAAAACTGCAAAGAGATTTTGTGCATCTTTTGAGTTTTATGAAGCTATAGTAAACTTTGTGTAGAAATAACACTGCAAATGGATTTGAGAATATTGCATGGTTCTGCTCTTCAGCATGCTTTCCATTGATTAATAACGGCAGATTAACCTGTGCTATGCTAGTGCTTCTGAAGTTCCGGAATGGTGAGACCATGGCCCATTTGTATCTGCAACAAGCAGCAGGTCCATTAGCCAAAGGAACTGAAACTCCATGGCATCGTTTTTAAATGAAACATGTTATTGTGTGGATTAAATGATTTTGCATCAGTAAAGATGTAGCACCTAATTACATTTTAAAATGGAGCTAGCGCACATTTGCAATAACCATTCTGAAAAAAACTTGTTCCAATTTGTAGTACTGTGCTTGAAACAGTTGTGCTCCTTGGCAGTTAGAACATGTAGAAATAGAGGAGTAGAGTAAAATAAGTGCCTATTCAATGATTTCAAACAGCCATTCCTCTTCATATCACACAGTTTGGCAATAGGCAGGGTAAGCCTTGCTCTGATGGCAACATACAGTGAAATTGGTAAGACTATAGCGGAACATATATTCACATTTTTCAAACAGAAGTATGTGTTGGCAGACTTCTAAAATTATTTGCCAGAGAAGGAGCTCTGGGCAAACACTGTTTGTCTATTGAACCAAATTCTGCATTTGTAATGCACACAAGTGGAAACTAATGTGTTTCATACATCTTTCATCTAAACTTCATGTATTCCAGTTGTTTAGTCAAATGCTCACCTCTTTGAGTTCTTCCATTTCCAAGTATCCACAGCTATGTTTGTCCATGCTTTTGGTATAATCAGAAGAAATCTGAACAGTTACCTTTTCCACTTTGCGGTTGGTTTATATTTTCAAACCTGCACATGTGATAGTTCCATGTTGAGACTTATTGCGGACCAAGAGGCAAGCATCTTCTTCACTCCACAGAATCATTTTGTTTGTGGCACGTGCACAGAGCCGATGTATGTCTAACACCTCATGTCAACACTCTTCTGTCACTTTATATATATGTATTATGCACCTATACACAGAAATAGATCTGTAAGATTATAGCATTTCAAATGATATTTTAAAAATATTTCTGATTTTTAAATATTAGCTCCTCAAGGATTTAATAGTGAATTTTTGAGACACTTAGAAAAAATACAAATCTGTGTAAAACCTTGCCTTAGTAACTTAGATATATAGTTCCACTGAACAGAACTGTTTGTTATTGTTCCATGCTTTATGCTGTGCTGGAGGAGATAGTCTGTGCCTTCAGCATCTCTCAGTAATTGGGCTTGATCCTGCATGTTGTAATGGTGATTGGTCACAGAATAAGTACAAAGTTAAAGCTACCAAGCAGAGGAGGGGAGCTTACTCCTGTGTAATTGAATGTGTGACTGGGCTCTCCTCTTAGATCAGTCACATCACAGGGATAATGTCAGGTAGTGGGAAGCGTAAGTTAATGCCTCATGTCCAAACCAAACTTTTTTTTTTTTTTTTAAAAAAAAAAAAAAGGCTTCTGCAGCATTGCTGTTCTCACCACCATTTTCTTATGCTCATTACTGGAGAGAAAAAACTGGGGTAAGCAGAGCTGGATCTTTGCAATGCCTTGTGCTGTGCCCAGCTAGCATCTGTCCACAGCCAAATGTTTGTGTTTAATCTGGAGTCAAAAGTGTTTTACTTGATCAAATTCACCACAGGATTTGCCTTAATGGATAAACTGCCCCAAATGAGGAGATAGAGTACGATACTAAGTAAAATATGATTCGGTCTTCAGGTGTACTTTCTCAGAGTAACCTTATGCAGGCCTAGTCTTTTTCTTGAACTTTTTTATTTACTTGGTGACAGAAAAGTTACATCCTTAACTCTTCCCTCGTCACCTGTAATAATAGCATGCTTAATTGCTGATGACATTCACTGTAAATTCACTTATGGTTTTATATGTTCAATACTGACTTGGGCTTTTTGCAGCAGTGTACCATTGAAGACAACCTGGAGAAGCATGACAGCATGCAGAGCAATAAATTAATTCACTTGGGAGACTTGAGTGGATATTCCAGTCTGAAGTGAGACTTGATAGCAAATGTTTTGGCAGGTGCTAATGGAAGCTCTTTGCTTTGCAGTGCTGCAAGGAGGAGCACTGGATGGAATCTACAGGTTGGTGCAGTTTCACATTCACTGGGGCTCCTGTGAGGGCCAGGGCTCTGAGCACACTGTGGATGGCGTGAAGTATGATGCTGAGGTAGGATGTGCTTTGCCTTTCCAGTCTTGTGTGTCTAATGAGTACTTTGATTTTTTTTTTTTTTCCACCTTCCACTGTGATAGCAATAGCTCTACAAACCTTCAAGTGGCAAGAGACTGTGGGGATTACCATAGAAGATTTTGGTGCAGTGCCACATTAGGATCAGCCCTTTGCAAATCATAGAATCATAGACTTGCTCAGGTTGGAAAAGACCTTAAAGATCATCTAGTCCAACCACAACCTTACCATACTACCCTAACTAACAACCTTCTGCTGAATCATGTCCCTGAGAACCACATCCAAACAATTTTTAAACATGTCCAGGGATGGTGACTCAACCACCTCCCTGGGGAGCCTATTGCAGTGCTTAATCACCATTTCTTTAAAGAAGTTTTTCCTGATATCCAACCTAAACTTACCCTGGTACAACTTGAGGCCATTTCCCCTAATCCTGTCACCCACCTGTCACCAGTGAGAAAAGGTTAACCCAACCCTGCTCTCATTGCAATCACCTTTCAGGTATTTGAAGAGAGCAGTAAGGTCTCCAAAGGTAATACAGAGATTAGAAACGAATGACTGCTGTGAAATACCTTTTTAAACCTTCCATTAATGCAGGCATTGACTGAATGTGGCTGCAGTTTGAATGGGCCCACAAATTTATCAGCTTTGCTTTTTCGTGAGATAGGATTTACCTTAGGCACATCCAGAAAAAATCCTGCCATTGCCTCACATCTGTTGACAATACCATAATTGTTCAGCGTGAGTTGCAGATATTGGGAATCAGCCATATGAACTAAATAACATTGAAATAAAAAATAAAGGAGCATCCTTGCTGAAGTGGCCTCGATACTCTTGTGATATCTTTTTCAAAGGCTTTCCCTGAAAGGGCTTCATTGGTGTGTTTTTTTTTTTTCTGGATTTTTGTTGTTGTTGTTTTGTTTTTGTTTAGAGTGGAGGTCAGAACTGTATTTAATGTCTTCTCTGTTGTTACACTGTAGGACCATGTATTTGTGTTGATTAAAAACTCGTGAATACCTGGCTATATTAGAAGTACTGTGTCAAAATCCTGCTGGCTTTGTGTAGGCAAAACTCATTGTAAAGATAAGAGGAGTTTTACCAGACTGAAAGCAGGAAGATGCAGCCCAGTTTGCATCTAAAATTCATCTGGGACCAAGAGCCAGAAGCAGAATAAAATGACAGAAATCTCTTCGCATAAATGAAACTTCAGAGTTAATGAATAATATAACAAATTCTTAACTGTACACAAAAGTTTTAAATCTCAGCAGTAAAACGCCATCTGCTCTTAATGTTTAATAAATTACTTCCCTGCATCCTCATTTGTAAAATATTATGGATGGAATATAATTTTCACAGTCCTCCATGTTTTCTTGTTCCTAGCTTCATATTGTTCACTGGAATGTAAAATATGGCAAATTTGCTGAAGCTGTGAAGCATCCTGATGGTTTGGCTGTGGTAGGCATCCTCATGAAGGTTAGTTGAACTTCTTTATATTATTTGCGTTAGTATAGTGTGTTCACTGTGTTTCACTATGTGCAAGGAGCCCAAAGCAAGATGAAGCAGTGTTATTTCTTACCCCATAAACCCAGAACAAATCAGATGATGTTCCAGGTTCTTGATTTTCTGTACATACAAAAACTGTACACTCGTAGTAGAGTATGGCTGTCATATGTCACTGTGATGACCCTACAGCAGCATGCTTGCCTCTATCATAGTGGCACTGCTGTGACTTGGACAGTGAAATGATCTGCATTACTGACCAAGTCATATATATATATGAATCTATAGTAAGACCAGCCTAATTAACAACTATTTTAATTCCCCTGCTACTGTTAAATGTCCAGAGCATTTCACATCAGCCAAATTGTCTTCACAGCTCTTGAAAAAGATGATTGTATTCCAACTGTGTGCACTCTGTCCTGGTCTTCTATTAGGAGGGTGGCTTCTATGAAGAAATAGCAGCTCAAATTCAAAAATAAATCCATATGCTGTAAATTGAAATAACAGTTTTGTTCTGACCAGTGTCCTCAGCTGACCTATTTGTGCTGTCAACTGGTTTGATTTTTAGAGAGACAGTTGCAGTCAGTTCTGTTTAAAATTCCTGTTATGTAATGAACTGGTGCTATGAAAATGTGCTACAAAATGTGTCCTTGAGAATTCTAACAGAAAACTAAGGTGTCACAAAACTGCTCCATTAAGTTCTTTTCATGCTGTTTGTGTTACAGGTAGGGAATGCCAAACCTGAAATACAGAAAGTTGTTGATGCTCTGAACTCCATTCAAACCAAGGTAATATTCTGTGTTGAATGCCACCAGACGAAACCGTTTGGTCTAGAAAATAGATTCTTTACTACTTTCATGTCCACTCTGTGTATGAGAGTAAAACCATGCAATCAGCACAAATGCTTCTGTAATCATTAAAGCCAAGGATGTTCAAAGTAAGTTAGGTTAGAGGGCAGGTAATTTGTATCTAGATGACTACATCTATTTGTCTTTCAGCTGCATTGAAACCTGTAAGGTAAGAATCATCTTCCAGATAAGAAGTTTGATCAGGTTAAAAACTGGGGAAAAAGTTAGCCTTCTGTATTTTAAATACCGTATAAAGCATATATGGATTCTTAATGTGCTGAGTAATTGGAAACCAGAGATTTATTTAGTAATTAAGTACCATAATAGAGGGTAAAGGCCTTTGCCAACAAGATCCATGGATGGAAAAGATAAAGAACGAGACTTCCCTGTCACCTTTGTCATCAGTCTCCATTTGACATAAATGGATGTTGCCATTTACTTCATTGGACAACAAGTCTCTCAGTTTCCGTATTCCCAGTGTACACTGCATCTGAAATCTTGCTGTTCCTTCAGGCAAGATCAAGTCATATCTGTAAAGGAAAAGCCCATAAATTCAACATTTGAAATGCTGAAATGTCTTAACTGTCCTAAAAAATAAGGAATATAGTGCTGAATGTACATAATGCCTGTACCATAAGCAGTACTAACCATTTATGCCCAACTCAGTTTCTCCCTTCCTCCAAATATAGAGCTTCTGTGGAAGACTTCTGTGTGACAAGCCCAGTGGTTGTATGTTGTCGCTTCCTTGACAATAGTCTGCCTACTTTCTTTATTGCAGGGGAAACAAGCTTCTTTCACAAACTTTGACCCTACTGGACTGCTGCCTGCATGCAGAGACTATTGGACATACCCTGGCTCCCTGACCACTCCACCACTGAATGAATGTGTGATCTGGCATGTTCTGAAGGAGCCCATCACTGTCAGCTCTGAGCAGGTAGCTCTCTGAGATAGTGCCAATCATATTGATTGCTTTGATTGAGTCTTCCAAGTGATCCTTGAAGTGGCTAATGTTGCATAGAAATATGAATCTGAAGTGGTTGCTTTTTTCTGGCAAGCTCTTCTTCTTTATGTGGAAGTGGAGGTTGATGTAAAATGAAAGATCATCCTCCATTTGGACGAAGTCCAAGCAATGTGAAGAGTTTAAAAATTTAATCAATTTGGAGCTGCTGTGTTGTTTTTTTTTTTAAAAAAAAAAAAAAAAGTAGAATGCATGAAAAGACTACTTGCATGTGTAGAAAAATGCTAGCATGTGCTGCGAGCATCAGCTTGTTTGCTGCACATGCACAAGTCACCTATCTGTGTGTACTTGCCCTGAAAATAGCAGGTTTATCACATATCAGAAGAGCATTCATTCTGTATCTGCAGTAGTATACTGTATATCTGTGGCTGATTTGTTTATTTTTGAGATCTTAGAGCATTTCCAGAATATGCAGACCCCATGTTACAAGGACTCTTCATCACAGAATAGACTGGGAACTCCCATGCATAACTGTAGCAATCCTAACTGCCTTGTTCGGAAGAGAGAAAACTTGCAGATTCCAGAAGTCATTTATCTAAGAAGAGTCCCATTTTGTGTTGTGCAGCTTGAGGAGGATGGAATCTTCCTAGTGAGAAGGAGTTCATTCAGACTAAATCAGTCCTGGCCCAAGGTTTCTGCACCATCCATTAATGAAATTATAAAGAAGCAAGATTCTATCCTGAGGTTTGCAACTGCATGCTCAGAAGATACAAATAAATCTTGAACCTATAAATATAAACTAGTCCTGAAGAGTTTTAGTTTACCCTTCAAACTCTTAAATCCCTTTTATTTAACTTTTAGTATGGCGCCCATACTAGAACCATGCGTAGATGTTTCTCTAGATCTGGTGTTGGTGAAAGGTTTAGTTGAGCCTTGTGGTTTGGGGTGATGATGTGTAATTCAGATAGTCCTGTTGCAGTGAGTATGCATTTGAGGATGGTTGTGCCTTTTCCCACAGATGTGCAAACTCCGTGGCCTTTGCTTCAGTGCTGAGAATGAGCCGGTGTGCCGCATGGTGGACAACTGGCGCCCATGCCAGCCTCTGAAGAGCAGGGAAGTCAGAGCTTCCTTCCAGTAACCTCAGCGATGTGTGTGATAGAAACTGCTGTTTATGTGAGGAACCCTTTTTGCTAAGCACAAATCAAACCTTTGCCATGTGTGTCCTGGCAACATCTTGTCTCCCATATTCGCTCTCTCTTTCATTCTATATCTAAAATGCCAGCTAATGAAATGTGAAAGGCTCTTGGCCAAACAGGAAGGGGTTCTTAATGTGTGGAGCTGAGGGGGGGCTGTGTGCATTTTGATGACTTGCTGTGACTGACATTTTGTTGTGACAAACAATATATTGGCTGTTTGGGAGAGCATATGGTGATAGCAAAATAAGCCATTCTAAGAAACCTCATCCACTGGTGTGATAGTACATATAACTAATGATAACTTGAAGCTTTGTCAAAAGCACAGGAATACAAAATATAGGTATAGTATAGGAAAAAAAAAAAAGTATATTGAGAAGGAAAAGTAAAATTGAATACTGAGAATTAGTCTTAGCTGTTAAGAAACTGACATGTAAATATTTTGAAGACCATTTTACATTTTTACCCATACTGTCAACAACCTTCATGGTAGTGTGTTGGATTTTTTTAATTAAAAATGTTCTAAATTAAATATTATCTTTTAAAATTGTTACCACAGAGTACAAAGTATCTTTTCACTGAAATAATATATGCTCTAATTTAAGGGGGAAATAAAATTGTATTTTAGATAACTTCTCTAATAAATCTATACTTATATTTTTGCTTCCAAGTTGTTGTTTAATTCAGGGAAATAGTTGCTACTCTGTTCACATCATTGCATACTAAGCAATAGTAATAAATAGTTAGCATATAAGGAGCGAGTATTAATGACACTGGAGATTAATGCAAAATGATACAATGTATTAGAAGAAAATTTCTTAAGTTGCTCTCTGCTAGACTGCAGAAGAAAGAATTAGTTCTGAGCGATCCTTGCAAATTGTCACTGAAGTTAATTGCATAATAAAAGATCCCCTTGCAAGAATTCTGAACAACATTCATTCTGTTGAACAAGCTTCTCCCAAACTGGTTGCGTTAACGTTGCCCTTATGTGACAGCCCCAAAACGAAGTGCCTTATCTTTATGCAGAACACTTATGCAATCTGTTTCTCCAACAAGAACAAATCCTTTCAAGATTGTGTCCCCAGAGTTTGATGTTTAGCCTCACTGCACCATATCATATGAATAATTTCAATACAAGAGTTTTCAACAGAAAAATTGTAGAGCAGAGGATAGATTCCGTAACACTACTGTCTGATTTCGTGTTTGTCATGAGCGCATTCATAATAGATACCTAAATATAAATCTGTTCTACACACAGGATCCAAGCAATACTTACGGGGTCTCTCCTTCCTAGGCTCTTTGGTGCTGGGAGGAAAGCCATTTTCAAATTTCTCATCTGTTTGGATTCTCTTACTAGGTTTTAAGACAATGCATTGATGACCTTCCTACTGCATCAGGGATCACTGTAATTTGTAAAATATCAGCTGGGTAGGCTAGATCCCGAAGCATCTTTGATCTTGAAGTGAGATGAGAATGAGGCCTTCTAAGATTGCATCCACAGATCTTCAGAACATTCTAGTAAATTTCCTCTATGAAATGCAACTCAAAAACAAACAACCAAACAAAACTGCAAAGCAAACATAAAGAAGAAAACCAAAGGATAACCTTCCTTCACCATATGTCATTTGTTCCAATTTCAGCTTTTCTGAATGGAGTACTCTGGCAGTACTCTCTTCCTACAACTGTGTTGAATAATTCAGGGTTTTTTGTGTTGATTGGCCTTTCTGACTGTTGCTCACAGTTCTGAGTACCATATTTACAGGCTTCAAAATTGCAGGGGCTGTTACACCTCTAAAAATTAGAATTACAGATCCAACACATTCTGGTTTAAAGCTTCTGAAGCTTTAAGCTGGCAGGAAACATCTCACAGAATCACGGTGGCTGAGGTTGAAAGGAGCATCTGGAGGCCATCTGGTCCAACCACTGCTTGAACAGTCTCCGTCTCCACGGATGGAGGCTTTGAGACTTATGACCCAGTTGTTTCAGAAAGTTCACTGAAACTGCAGCAAAGTGCTTGTTTGCTGTCACAAACATTATCTTTATTTCTAGAATTTTGCATGTGTGTTAGAACTTGCTTTCAAAGGTGGCAACCCTGCTCGCTGCATAACGACTGCATGTTATGGCATTCTCAAAATTAAAATGTGAGAACACCATGCCTTGGCAACTGTGACATCCTAGCCATCAGGTAATAGGATGTTCTGAAAGGTGGTGTTCTCACCAGGCTGGTCAGTGACAAACAATGTGAACTTCTGCCTAAAGGCTAGGGTAAAAACTGGAAGTGTCCATGAAGTTCTAACTACTGCTGCAATTTAAAAAAAAAAAATCATATTCCATACCCCAAAAATGAGACTTTGACTTGAATCAGCCCTCTCTTCCATTTTTGACAGAGACCACTACGTTAGGATGTTACGTATTTTTGCATTTTTTCATCCACTCCAATTTTTGCTCTCTTCCTATGGTCCATGAAGATCTCATGTACATGCTGGCTTACCAAAGGCAAAACTAAGGAAGGCTCTTCTCAACTTTGTGTCCAGGACTGTATCCTGGAGACAACAGGTCTAAAAATCCATCCGGAAGAGGTCCCTATTGCTTATGCTGAGCAACTGAGGAAAAAGTGATTCTCATCATTCTCTGATAATGTTTAGTATGTGGTCCAGTAACATAGGTGTGTTCTGAGCATATGGTCAGCACCTGCAGAAGGAAAGAGATCAACCTCACTGAGTCCATCTGGAATGGACTTCAAGGAGTACATTCAGCTGCTCAGAAGTGTCAAAATTCAAGTTGGAGCATGGAGAAGCACATCATTAGACATAATAGGTTTTTGTTGTTGGAAACATAGACAGCTCTACTGTGTGGCCACTTGTGGAGGTCAGGTCATCCCAGCCAAGGGAGAGAATGAGCATCTACATTTAGAGTAACTGAACAAGCTACCTAAAATAACCCACAGCATGAATTTACAGCCCAGGAATGCTTGTATAGTGTCTCTTCAGGTCAGTGAGAGAGAGCATTAAGCTGTACAACAGTCGTACCATTGGATTGTCATGAGAAACAGTACTGTGCAGCTTGCCCTGATATTTATGCAATGACAGCTTTAGTCAGATGTGGTATAGGTAAATAGACTGCGGCTCAGCATCCACCCACACTTTTAGCTATTATAGTGCTATGCATCCAAGTATTCCTGTCCCAGTTGGAATTCCAGTATCAATGCTTGGATACCTCCTAAATGATATAGTGTTAATCTGCTTCTGACTTAATGTTTAAGTGAAAATTGGTAATCCTTGTCTCCATACAGTAATAGTTCACTGTGTTACATTCTCTCTGATATGGGTTGGAATTCCCCAGAAGGTGTTCTTGTTGTTTTTGGTTTTTTTTCCAATACATACAGCAAAGCAATAACAGCAATAACCATGATTTTCTTCAAAATCCTTCTGGAGTGGGCCTTCCTCTAGGACTCATAAGAAATTAACCTGAAGTGATGTGGAGCAGAAGAGACTGTAGGTCATGGGCATGTGTACACAGATGCCTGTGGAACAACTCAGTCACATTACACAACTGACCGAGTTCAAGATGGGTGCTGTTATAGGGAGTTACTGCTGCAAAAAAACCTGCTTCTTACAAGGCTTGTAAGGTAGCTTCTCTAGGCCAATGTGGTGAATCATGCACAAAGAATGAGACCTCTGTAGTTGTTTTCTAAAGTGATCTGCAAGAAAATAGGCATGTCTTGAGTGAAAGAATGGACAACTCAATTTCTGTAACTATCTATCATCCTAGTGGATTGTGTTTGTCAGTCATGTCTGTTATGTGATACCTTTGTATTACACCAAAAATCAGCTCACCAGGGTAGGAATACTAAGAGTGTTTTTTGAAGGAAAGTGAGGGTAGAAGGAGAGTCTGATTTGCATGAAGGCAACCAAATCGTTTTGAAAATGTGCTTCCATGTTCCCATTTGTTCTAATCAAATTTGTCATGCTTCAAGGTTGCTCCCCAAGTAATAAGCAATGGCAAAAACAACCAAAATCAGCTATATATTTATCATCTTGTTTTCATGAGCTTATTTACCTGGAACGTTGCCAATGCTGTATATTTGCTGAATATGAAATACTTCTGTGTTGAACTAAGCAATGCAAGCTGGTGTTTGTAAGACACCTGTGTGGTCCACCAGGGAACACTTTTCATTTCTCTTTTGTTTTAAAGTGGATAATCTTTGAGAACTTCCCCAAAATCCTCTCAAAAATCTTCTCCAGCATAAGACAGTGTGTGGGCTGCTCACAAGTTCAGACTTTGCATTTGGACTCTAGCTCAATGGGTGGTGTTTTCAAGGAAGACATATATGCTAAGGCTGACTCAGAGATGAAGAAAGTTATTTCCCTAGCATTCATTATCCATTTCCAGAATGATGAGTTGAAGAAGATAAGTGTGACGGGCACCATCCAGCTCTTCCTGACCTTTATTTTCCCTTATTATTGACTTATATAAAGAAGTTATAATTAGGCTTTGGAGCTGTTTCACAGCAGACTTAACAACCATTCGAACATAACAGTCAGACCTATGAAAACTGGGAAATTGTTCATGTATCTATAATGAAAAGGAGACTACTTACATCATAGACCAGAAGCTGATATTTTGTCCCAAGTAACTAATTGTGTTACTGTCAGGCAGATAGCTCTGATTAAAGGGAAATTTACTTAGAAGAAAAAAGGAAAAAAAAAAAAGGTTCATGTGTTGATTTGAAGCCATAAGATACCTCTTTGATGGAGGAAAGAGGGAAGCATGTTCCGTTGCAAACTGTTCATTTTGCACATTTTGTGATCTTGTCTCGCACTTGTCTGCCAACCCCATGTGTTAGAACATTTTATGATTTCTCCACTGCTATTTCTAAGGGTTGGATTTGTCCTAGATTGACATGGGCGGGTAGACTGTGATTAGAGACATTCCCTGGGAGATTAGATAATAATGCCCTGCATGGAGTCTGCAATATTTATAGAAGTCCAAACAGTTTATAGAAGAGTATCACTCACAAAATGACAGCTTTAGGATTTTCTAACCCTAGCCCAAAGAAAAACCCTGTAAGCAACAGCTGTGCCAAGTCTAATATCACAGAAACAAGCAGTGATGTAAAGTATAGGCAGTTGCATTATTGAAGAATTCCCATGGACCCTCTAAGATCAGCCACTTCCCTCTTCCAAAACACAGCATCTTGCACAGGCAGAACCTGGTGGCAGTTGCTTATGCTGCGTGTTTGATATATTTTTAATCTATTTTTAACTACCTCCTTCTTTCAGTATAATGGTAATGTGTTGAAGGGCGTCCATGCTGCTTTGATGCCACTTTGGTTTGCTCAAGCAGAGCTCAGTGCTAACATGGTGTAGCAGTGTTATTCCTAATTCCAGAAGAGAGTCAATTTAAATCAGCAAGACCACCATTGTGCTGCAGCGTATTAAACAATACAAATATATCCTTAGGGTATTCTGAAAAAGACAGTATACGAGCAGTTTTTTCATAATGTTGCACTGTGTGGGCATTGTGTATATGTATGAGAAGAAGTGGTCTCTTCCCTTTTGAACTCACACCCTAAAACAAAGAAAGGCATGCAGGCAGTGTGTAAGAAACAGGTGGATATTAGTATTTTCTTTGAAGGGCAGGTTTTAATGAGTCTTGCAACTTCAGTCGTTGTTCAAAGACGTGGAAAATTTGCTGCACGATACCATCCACATTATCTCAGTGAAGTCCCAGAATCAAATTAAAAATAATTTGTGTGGGACTTGGTACCAACAGGGACAATGATGATGGAAATAGGTAGCATGAAAGGTGGCTCTGAAAGGCGTGATAGAGATGCCAAGGCTGGCAGCTTTAGCAGAAAGCACAGATAGACCCTCTCTTGAATGCTTCTTACAGACCATAACCAGCTAAAGGTCAAGTCCAAAAGGTTAGCTGAGAGTAATGTGGGAAGAATCTACCTGTAGGGCACACCAGTGGAAGAAGTGGGACACTAGACTAGTCAAGACTCCTCTTTGCTGCTCATGTGCCACCCCAAATGTGGAGGAAAATAGAGGCTGATGGACTGTCCTTCCCCAGCAGGGAAGGACTGTGGCAGTGGAGTGTCCTTACCAAAGCAAAGTAGCAAGGATAGCCGAAGACCCTATTTTTACAAAACTGTGTAGTACCAAAATACTTTTGTGATTACGCAAAGTTGGGAAAGAACATCCTCTTTCATCTCCCTAAATTAGTCCTGAACAAAGTGACTTGAACTTGATACAGAAAGAACATAAGACAATTTAATGGGATGGTATGCATGATGCAATTTGGATGATGCATCTCTTCACCACTTTATTGTATTCTTTCAAAAAGGCACAATAAAGAATGATATAAATTTCAAATGCCTCTCCTAAGAAATGCATTCTTTGAATCCAAATTAAAATTGAAAGACATCTAAATACTTGCACTCATCATATCTTTTGTTGGTTTAGATTCATTGATAAACATGCTCATAGAAGGAAAACAAATACTAAAGAAATCAGGAACAGCATTTTACAGTAAAAAAAAAATTGAAAATTGAAACTTGAAAGAAAAATCATCCTTACTCAGGATGTGTTTTTGGGAGAGATTTGAAAGGACAGCATTTTGCAGATAAATGAGGGTGGTAAACATCTTTTCCTCCTACTCTCTGTAGAAGTGCACCAGACTCCAGACTCTCCTAAATACTCTGACTAGTAATAAAAACCATATCCAGACAGCATTTAGAAACCAAGACATTTAAAATAATTTTAGAGACATATAAAAACTTTCAGTGAATGATAAAACTTATAAAATGCAGGAATCCTGGAATGAGCAAAATGTTCCTGGAGTGACTTCCCACGCATCATGTTCTGCTCTGCATACCCTAGTGTTCTCTGTCTCTGGAGAAGAACTCATCACTTTATCAAGGGATAAAGAACACATAGAAGAAGAAATATAGAAAAGCTGAAACCTCTGATGTGATTTGTCAGTGACAAATAATTCCATCCATTAATCAGAACTACGTGGTCTTGTCACACTCACTGCATGAGAAAGACCTGAGGAGTAGAGTTAGAAGATTGAATATCTGAATGTTTGGATGTTTTTTTCCTTTGGATTTCAGGCTACAAAATTATTCTGAAGAGCAGTTGGAAGGCGATAGGATGTAGGAATCACCTTTAGGAACTATAGGTTCACAGAGTGCTCCCTAAAGACATGAACATGAAATGAGCACTGCATTGCTCCCATTGCCATAGCAGATGCATGGAGAGCTGTTTTCATGGCTTGAACTCCAGGTGCTTGCTTTAACTTTACAGCCACAGTAGTGGCTAAAGAACAAGAAAGCCATGAGGGGTGCTCCTGCTTTTCAAGGCTGCCAGTTCCCTGTAGAGTTAATAGAGAGGTTACCAATGAAGATATGGTTATCAGATGACATCTGCATGCCCTCAACCTCCATACAAGAGCTTAGGCTTGCAAATATCTTCCAAACTCACAGTCTAACAGGTAATGTGGTAAAACTAGTGTAGATGAAATCTCTCCATTCATTGATCCAGAGATGGCTTCTGTCTGACAGGAGTGAGCTGGGACAGTGGGCTGTTCATGTTCCTAAGTGATGTGCAGGATCCAGCTCTTGATTTATGTTGAATAAAGCTCTATTTCCATCTAGTTATCTAATCCTTGTCAAGCCCCCTGGTAAATGGAAATGTCCGATCATTCCCACATGAAAATCCATTTTTTATTTCTCAGAGGGTTTTCCAAGCACTAAGCAGCTAGGTTTAAGGCAGAGAAACTGTGAAAAATATTTGTCTTTCAGAAAGAAAAGCAACAAACAGAAAAAAATTCTAAGCTTATAGAACACTGAGTTCATTTTCATTCTGAGGAATATTTATGTTTGTTAATAGCAACTCTGTATATAATAACAACATAATGGATGATTTTTTGTTGGACCTCGTGTCTATCTACCACAGTGTATATGTCTATATGATAAATATCAGGCCCAATTCATGAGAAAGAAAAGCCCTTTTTCATTCTGTGTATTATACTTTCAGTAACATAAATCTTTGGAAAAGTATTTATTTTTGTCATCCTGAGATCATTTGTTTTAGAAAAAATATGAAATCACAGAATGTAGGGGTTGGAAGGGACCTCCAGACATCGAGTCCAAGCCCCCTGCCAAAGCAAGCTCCCTACGTCAGGTGAAACAAGAAATAAGAAACCAGTAAACAACTTATCACTGGAAAATGAATTATCCACACAAGAGAAGAAAAATATATTTTCTATTTAGTTAGTAGTTGCTTTATCTTCAGTCCTTTGTACTTCGATTAAAACAGGACCTTCTGAAGTGTTCACTACTAATATTAGACAGGGAAATATCTAAAACTGGGTCATATGTCTCCTATAGCAAAAAAAACCCTGCATTTCAGAAGCCACACTATTTCCTTAAGGAGAAAAAAAAAAAAAAAAGAAAGAAAAAAAAAGCTTTATTAAAGGATGTTCCAAGGACTCAAATGAAGCTAATTGCCCAAGAAGGATGGGGAACCAAGTAACGAGCAGTTCCGTCACAGAGTCATCCCTCCTAGATATTGCCTTTCAGTGACTGAAGAGCTAATGATGCTAGATTCTTAAGAAATTCACAGCCTGCAATCTTGATTAGGTAAGGCAGCAAGTCTAATCTGCATTTAATGAATGATTCAGGAATAACTTTAGGAACATAAGTTTAAGGGAGCGGGGCTTTAACAGAAATAGGTACCTGCCGTATGCATGTCTTGTGACCTGGCTAATTATGGGTATTTGAAGAAGTTACTACACTTCTTTCATTCAGTTTCAAAACCCATTGTCTTCCTGTTCTGCCAAGTAAGAAAATCTGGTACTTTGTTAAAACTTATGCTACCGTGTAAGCTGAGCCTAGAAAATAATGAGAGAAGAAGGAAAACTGATGAAAAGTTATTTCTGCAGAGCATTGTAGACAAATTTTTATGCCCCTCTGAGTCATTAGTATGTGTTCTCAGTGATACCTGCCAACAAATAATATGATTTCGACCTACATTGTTCTGAACACCCCAATTAAAGAATACTTATAATGTACAAGTAAATGCAAAGAAAGAAAGCTAACCAAGCACAGATTTAGGAGATTTCTTTTTTTTTTCTTTTTCTTTTTTTTTAATCCCAACAGTGTTTTCTCCTAAGACAGGGGAAAATACAGCTTCCTTTCAGGAGATGCTTTTAAGTTGGAAATAATTTGTGACTGTCGGTAGCATTGCAAAATATCATTAAGGGGAAAGAAAAGGACATAAACAACCAGCAGTGACCCCATCAAAGTATCAGACCCTCTCACCCTTTTGATTTTGCAGGAAAAGTTGCTGAGACACATTTGAAGCTGAGGGTATGCCAAGATTCAAGCAGGGAAGAGAATTGTTTGTGAGGCAGGCAACTGTCACTCACACTTCTCAGGCCTTTCTCAACACCCTTTCTCCCTCTGCACTCACCTTCAGGTCTCACACAGCAATTTCACTTGCCCAGCTCCCACAGCCTCCTACTGCTTACCTCCTTCTCGTGGTAGGGATCCAGTCCTACCATGTGCTCTCATTATGGAGTCCCATTTCATGTTTCCTATCCCAGGAACACTGTGTCTAGGATAACCTGAATGCTGTGAAACAGCAATGGTAGTGTGTGCGACAAGTTACCCCCAGCATGATGAAGAAGCAACCTAGAGAAAAGCAGCCTGGGGACAGCAACTTGCTCTTGTATCAAGGTTTGGGCACTGATGCTCCTGTCTGTTTTGCTGTGTTTTTCCGCGTAACCAAGTTTCTTTAAAGTGGACAGCAGTGTGGAAAATGTCAAAGCGTTTGTAATAGCTAACTTATTATCTGCCTCTAACAATGGAGGAAATAAAAGCAAACACAGGAATAAAAGTGATTTTCAAAGACATGCACTATACAATCAGAAGTAAAACCTGTGGGTCACACATTAACTATGAGGCTGTTCTGACATTGCAGGAGTCAGAAATGAGACACTGATTGCGAGAGCAACGGAGAGGTGCCTGAGAGAATGAGGGCTCTCAGCCCTTTGAAACAGTGACGAGAACCTGGGTTGGAGCCAGGCAGTAGCAGTGCTCACGCAGCCTCCGCTCACACAGCCAGCTTGCCAGCACAGAGCTTCCCTCCTGCCTGTTCGGTGTACACCACCAGCCTTGAGAAGACTATGACTCAAGATCTGCGCAGTCTTGAAAGGTTGAAAATATCCGTAACAGCTTCAGTTCTTGCATGGCATTTTAAGACGTAAGCAAAACCTGCGACAACAAGCCCAGGCTGGATATGCAGAGTTGTCAAAAGTAGCACACTCTGCAGCATTTCTATTATAAATCCTTGGTTCCAAGGGACTGAAATTCAACTGTAATTAATCACTGCAGGATAAAGCTAGGAAAGAGAGCATTCTGGACAAGAAAGTATTTTTTTTCTCTCAGTAAATCTGGAAGCATGGAATGTATGCGTGAGACACCAAAGAGATTACTCCTGGGCTTTGAGATTATTTCATTTTTCAGATTAATAAAAATAGATTTAACAACAAAACCTGGAACACAGTGGAGATTTGATGCAATGGAATTTCACCAAATAAAATGTTATGGCCAAAGTACGGTCTGTCTACTTTCTTCCCAGATCTCCATCAAGGATCCTTTATGTACTCCTTTCCTCAGTTGCGAGTTCTGTGGGATTATTTTGCACATAGAATTTGGGCTGTTTCTCATGACCATAAACTGCAGCAGTGCCACAAATTTCCTTCACAGAGAGCCATTTGTAGTGCTCCATGACTTAGGGCTTTAAGACAGGAGGTGAGAAATGCACACATCTTATGACTGAGCCCATCTTATGACTGTAGCTTTGTGCCTGCTCTGACTCCCGCTGATGTCCTGGTAGGAGCTGTGCTGTCACGGATATCTGTCAACATTTTGTCGTCTTTTTCCACCTACCCCTGGTCATACATGAATTTTATATCCAGACCAACTAATTAAGACTCTTCCTAAATCCACAGTGTCTGGAAGAAAAAACAGCTAGTTCAAATTTATTTTCTGTGGAGGTGACAGTTAAATCCATTCCCAACATTAGAACTGGGCTACAGCAATAGTTTTACCTGAGTTTTTATTCATAGTGTTTTTGGATAGAAAAATACTTTTGAAAAGTTCACTGATGGAAATAGCCACAAGACAAATGCAGTCCAGATGGTGTAAACACGGGAAGCACTCGGTCTGTTGTATGTCACATAATCAGCTACTGTGGAAGATGACAGTCAGGTTTGTGATTAATTCCAGCAAGGAAAGGCTGACCCTAGAGCTGAAGCAGCCATGACCTCTGGAAAGTGGCATATGCTATGGACACCACCAAGTGTGACCATGCACCAGCAAGGCTTTCTCACAGTTCATGTGCTTTTTGTTTGTTTGTTTTTCATAAAAGATGGAGTGTTGTACATCATGTTAATTATTCCTCTTGGTAAAACTCAAGATTTTTGATTCAAGGGATTCACAACTCCCAGTGAAAACTTAGTCCATTCAAACAGTGTTGTTTTAGGTGGGATTCTTTGGCAGTGTCAGTCCAAATACTTTCTTATACTAAAATATTTCACTTGTTCATCTATAAAACTATGCTGAAGAAGAACTGGAATTTATAAGCTTGGAAGAATATTACAGAGCATCTTGACTTTTTTTTTTCTTTCAATTCAGTGTTCCACATCTTTGGTTTACTATGGGCTAGCCCATTGTTTCATCATCATACTGAAAGCAATAAAAAAATAACATGCACTATACAGAGACAAATAAAAATGTTAAAATGTGTCAGTTATACAATAAAAGCTTGAATTTAGCTCACTGGGTACAAAGGAACCAACCAAGGAAAAAGATGGTAATGACTGCATTACTTTCTCAAGGTAACTGACAGGAATCTACTTTGAGATTATTCTTGCTGGCTGTGAAGATAAAACAATACTGGGGTTCTAAAAAACAAAGGAGATTAACTTTCTACAGTTCCTCAGTACTTGATAGTATTTGTCCCAGAAATCAATAATAAAACTACAAAAGTCTTCATGCTTTTAAGAGTTCTCCATTGACTTTGGTAGGAAATCTGTTTCAAAACCAAATAGTATTACATTGCTAGCATGCTAAGCTGATAACAAAATAAGTGATCTGTCACTGAAAGTAAATACTTATTTTTCCATACTCTCTGTTCTTATCATCTAGACATGTGTGGGATGGAGTGACTGCTGTCTGGGATTTGGTAATGAGCAATGGACTCTTGTAGCTGTTGCTGAAAATTGCTTACTTAAATCCAATCAAAATAGATAAAACAGGTCTAAACAGGCAATGGACAATATATTTTTCTCATCTTATTGTTTTGCAGGTTCTTCTTAATCACTGTAGGCTAATTTCCATAATCTTATTCAACATTAATTCAATTCGTGGTGACAGTTTCCAAAGTGGGACAAGGATTGAGATTCTAACTCAGGAATCCATTAGATTACATAGACTTGTGTCCTCACCCTGAATGAGCACAGAGAGGAGTTAACTCCTGCTTTCTTGAGATGAACACAAAATCTCTTCCTTAATCAACCCTTTTCCCCAGAAGCTTATTCAGAATTGATGGCCAGTGAAGCTTACCAAACTTAGGACTAGCATCTCCTACTATTTCTACCCTAACTTAACAGCAATTTTCAAGTTTCATTTGAATGTAGCAAAGAGCTGTGGTGGGAGGAAATTACTCTCTGCAAAACTGAACATGATGAGGCATGTGAGGACTTTGAAAAGGGCTTTGAATCATTCCAGTCATCTTCGCACTTTCCCTGCTGCTTGGCAAATGGTACACGATGTCTCTCATTTCTAAAGGTCTGTTACAGGCTGCCTGATGCTGCATGTGATTCAGCCTCCCTTTTGCACGACCAAGTTTTTTTGGTGTTTTTTTTTTTTTTTTTTTTTTTGGGTTTTTTTTGCTTTTCGTTTTTTGTTTTTTTTCTACCTACACTCCAGGGAGTCTGAAAAATAATTTCATTTCACTCAGCCTCTGAGTCGTGGAGTTGAGTGGCAATTTTCAGAAATGTGTCACTGCAAAAATCGTCAAAAATCTCAGGTATGCTGTGAAGAATTTGCTTCAAAAAAGTTATCAAGAAAACAAACAAAGTAATACAGTGTTGGTCAGCCTGTATTTGTCTGTGTTTCTCTCTGTTTATCATTCACATGGGGCAGTGGTGAGAATAATAGCTAGAACTTAAAGCTCTAGAAACCATAGCCTTCAGGTTAAGACCTGACTATCAATATCTCCAGGCTCAATTTACAGTAACAAATAACAGTAGTATAGTAAACTTCATTTACAGATTATTTTTTTCCTCTGGTGTTGTTGGTGTGGGATTTTTGGAAGTAAAACTGTCAAACATAAGCCATTACTCAGAGCCTAAGTGTATGCTTTCCTTTAATCAGTCCAGGTATCAACTACATAATGGTCACAGTGCTTCCATCTGTTTTCTGAGCAAGAAAAGGACTTATCCTTTAGATGTTTCATACTAACTGGATATTCTGACTTTGAGCAAAAAGAATGAATATAAAACACCTGGAGCCATTTTGTTCCAACTATAAACAAAAGTATCACTCAACGGCTTATAGTGAATTTATTGAGATACACTTATCCACAGAAATCTTCTGAATGTATTTGTTAGTCTAATTACACTAGTATTTTTGGTTTTGTCAGATGGACTTTAGAGCATTTTCTGAAGCTAATATGGGATGTGCCAGAATAGGAACTGAGACACTAACTCCATGGTTTGCTGGAAAAGAAAACTTCTGCCAGTCACAGGAGTGAGAAAGAACTGTAGTGTTTTAAGGATAGCTTCTGCTTATGTTCAGAATGAAACAAAGCCTCTACTGCAGTTTTAAAGAGAATAACACAGCATTATATCCACTTACCAGAACTGACAATTACTGGATACCTACCTACTGTCAATGTCATCTTTTTTTTTCTTTTTTTTTTCACTTAGGACAAAAAGGAACCAATCTTTGTCTGTCCTTACTACAGTAGCTCAGTATATTGCAAGCCTTAAATAAATCAGCAGAAAATGCCTACTGCTGGAAATGGAGTCATTATAAAATGAAAGGAACAACACTACAGATTTCAGTGTAAACAAACAGAAAAGGCATTAAATAATTGCCTGTTTTCCTAATGTTGCTCATTATGTTTGTTTTCTAAGTTCCTAATATTTTGGGTGTTCATATAAATATGCTTGAAATATTTTGTCATCTGTCTTATTTATATTATGAGTTACACTTTTGGGTTCCCTCAACTCTCAGTTTGGAGTTCTAGTTATAATTTTTATTCAACTTAGAAAGCCTATTATTTACTTTAGACAGTTTCTATGTGAAAGTTAGCATCAGATTCTGTCAAGTTAACTTCTGTCCTGCTCTGGAATTTAGAACATTTGCATCCTAAAGACAGCTGTACCTTCTATCCTGAGGTAATCTGTCAATGAGCAGACCTGCTAAAGCCGTTGTCTGTGGAACAGAGAGGGTGAAGGGGAAGTTATTTGCATTCTGGAGGATTTTGTCCTGTCTGATTCTACCTGAACTCCTCACACACAGTATGAACCATCCCTTGCCACTGACTATCAGCCAGAACAGATGGCAGAAGGCAGACAAGTCTGTTTCAGAATAGATCACACAATAGAAACCAAACTAATCTCAAGTCCTGCATGTTGACATGGTCAAAACTCATTGATATTTCTCTGATCTGTGAGGCTCGACAGTTTTCTAGGGAAGACAGAGGAAAGGAAAAAACAAAACCAAAGAAAAA